AGCAAACGTAACTTACCACTGTGGTGTTCTGACTGATTGTTAATAATATATCAGCTCTTCTGTTGTGCACATTTTACCTGAAAATTGTCATAGATCTCCGTTCTTCAGAACGAAAAGGAGAAAATAAGGCTATATGCCAGTGAATTTAAACGTTCTCTCTAGAGTCTAGGGTAGTACTCCTGCATTTACATCCGGATACGGTCCTTTGGAGCAATCAGGCGGCCTGAAATAACTAATACTTGACTGTTTTAACCCGAATTTCCACTGACCAAAGAATATAGTCCTGTTCGCGACTTAACCTTGGAATATAAACGTACCATCCGAGTTACTCTTTATTTTTGTCCTTATGCAGGGCATTTTGCTGTAAACTAATTAGGTACACATTTATATAGATACCACTCGGTTGGTTCAAAGCAACTTTAGGTCGGTATCATTGACCTACTTCAGCGGCAGGGTAACGTATCATCCGCTACTCCGAAAACAAGTAAAGGAAATCGAAACATAGTCTACTGTGATGAAAAATTCCCTCATCCTGCCGACAAATGCAAGCAAGGCAAAGTTTTTTTCACGCAAAAACCGCATATAGCTAAGGCCAAAATGTTTGCTGATCGCCCACATTTCTGCGTTGGCACAAACTAAGCTAAACTGACAGCACCTAGTTACTAATATAACAAATGGCATTACTAATCTATCGGACAGTGAGTCATCGGATTAGTGGCGACCATCCCCAACGCGCAAACGTGAGGAACAGCTCCTCTCCCTGCTGTGTCCGCGGGGGCCAGAAGGCTAGAAGGCAACATTCGACACATGATTGCTCTGCCTGCATCCTGTGATGCATATGCGATCAAAGTGATATCCAGAGCAATGCGCTGAGGCTTAAATGTCTCTTCGAGAGATAATTTATTGTTGCAATAAACTAAAATGGAAATAAAAGTATTTTTTTAAATGTCACTGAACTGCTCGCAAATAAGTCATCTAGATAACTTGTAGTCTAAGTACAAAGTCAAATAAAATCTTTTTTCAGTATTGTTTATTTTCGCAGATCGACTCCATAACTTCTGCCCATTATCAAATAACAGTTGAAAGCTATGTACAAAGAATTGTTTGGCATAGGTCGTTAAAAGGCTGCCCCTGTCTAAATGGGATATGAAATTCGATCCCATAAATTGTGACTTGAAGATGAAAAGAGATGGTTTCGAAAGGTAAGGCCTCAAGAAACGGAAAGGCAGACTCTAAGTCCAGTAACTAAGACTCACTGACGCATTTGTAGAGAAAACAATGAGACCCTCTTATTTCAATTCATCATAACACCTGTGGTCCTTAAAAGAGGATATCGATTGCTGATAGAAGCGAACAGGCGAGTTCCAGGTGGCGGTTCAGAAGACGAAGATTCGATCATTGAAACAAGAAACTTACTGGCCTGACGTTTCGGATTCTTGCTCAAATCCATACATCAGAGTCAGTCGCAGATAAGAGTAATGGTGGCACAAGGATTGCAGTGCTTATAGCTGCGGTGGGACCATATTCGCACTGTAATTAACAGCTCTCACAATCACCGCTGGGGTCGTAATGGATGCGATGGTGGCTAGTCAGTCCACGTCCTTAACGACTCCAGACGTTCCCTGCCGTGACAGTGGGTCTTTCGGTCTCATGACTTGGCGCCTGGTGATTGGTTCCGGCCCGCGTGCACCCTTAACTCCAAGTGGAGTGAGAAGACGACTGACGGCTTCCGAGACGTTCTTCACGTACGGAAAAGCCCGCCAACATTTGGGGCTGGTTGGATTTGGTCTCTGGTGTCCTTTTCGTATGCACTGGTTGACAGAGTTGCCCGGGTAGTCATTCGCTCTCATTACCCGTCGAAGATATTGTAATTCAGAAACCTGGTCTTCCATTCCACTGTAGTGCGCCTCAACGCGCCGGCATAGCGCCCTTACGCCACTGCGTTTGTGACTGGCAGGAGACTTACTCCTTTAAGTTTCTCCAAGAATTGTGTTGACGTGCTGACTGTGGTGTTCGAATCGGAGGTCGGAAACTTGATACGTCGAAACAACCACTTTGCCTGTCCGTAGATTGGAGTGCCCTTTAGTGATACGATGGGCCGGAGAGGAGGGTCCTCTTTACGTACTTTTGGGAGACCGTAGAATCGGGTTAGGGTCGCTTCTTGCGTTCTCGCCATGCGTCGGTATGCATAAATTATGCTGTCCGGTTTATCTGCACAACTTGTCCATAAGATTTTAAGCAACCTTCGCAGAGACATGAAAGTTTGCATGTTTGCGAGGCTTTACATGCGTCTACACTTTCGGACGCTAATCCTATCCCAAGTTGTCGGAAAATATTGTTGTCATCGCAATTAATCTACCGGAGTTATTAACTAACGATTATCAATAACATTAGTACTTCGAATTTTGGCTGAAGTGGATCTTCAAATCGCATACTAAAAGTAAGTGTATTCGTAATTGAGAATATTCCTCCTAATTTAAGGTATATTGAAATGAGGCAGTTTGAACTTATGAAGTCAAATGATGCAAAATGTATTCTAATTAGAAAGCCCCGATTTTACTGATCGTAGCTATAGTCAGGATTAAATATGGCATAAAGAAAAATCACGTGCAGTTGGCAGAAATTCCCACACCAGGATGTAATATAACCTAATTTGTCGTAACACCACCGTGATCGACTAATTGAGTAAGGAAGTTGGGATTCGAAGTGAGCAAAGAAATATACGTCTTTATCTGTCCGAATATGAACTAAAAAGAACTAAGCACTACAATATGCAGCATATTGTTGCCCAAGCTGAAATGCGAATACAAACTTTGGTTAGATCGCAGTTGGTAGCCAGGAATGGGGAGGCAGACAGCGAGGTACCTGTCTTACGGGAACGGTGGGAAAGCGGGTTATATGGGTGGGGCAAGTGCAAGTGCTGGTGGAGGAATGCTGTAGTTTCTGGGAAAAAATGAAATTAATAAAAGAAGTGTCAGGAAGTTTTAGTAAGGTAAGCCGTAAACCTTAATCCCAACGAAACCTCATAAGGAAAACCTAATTCTAAGGTTCTAAAACTTTTCTCGAAAACAGTAAGTCTAACTCTAACCCCTGCTCTAACCTAAAAACTGAACCCTGACCTTAACCCAAACCTTAACCTTAGCCTAAGCCCTAACCTTAACCCCAATCCTAACTTTAACCCTAACCCTTACCCTAACCTAAACCCTAACCCTACCCTTAACCTTAATCCTAACCTTAACCATAGCCCAAACATTAACCGTAATCTCAACCGTAACCCTTACTTTAGCCGTTAACCCTAACCCTGAAGCCGAAACCCCACCCTAAAGCCAAACCATAATCATGAACCTAAACCCTACTGCTAACACTGAAGCCCGACCATATAACGTAAATCCGAATCCCCAAACCTAACTTACGCTTAAACGTAACCCTCACTAAACCCAATAGCCTGACCGAAACGGCTGACCTACCTCATGCATTAGAAGCACACCTACTGATAACCAGTTCCCTAAACAAGGTAAACACACCTACTGATGAAGAAGAAGAAGACACGATCGCCGGGACAAATGCTTTATTAGCCTGACGTTTCGGATTTCTGCTCGAATTTATCATCAGAGACAAAAGCAGATAAGGATAATAAGTAAATACGTCAACAGTATCAACGTACAGTGCCTGGCTACCAACTGCGATCTTACCCAAACTTTTTTTGAAAATTGACGCAGAGATCAGCTCTCAGCCACTGATTCGGAGCATCTGGCGTACTTAGTGCAGGTGATGGGAAGGTAATCGCATAGTGCTCGTGTCGACTTTTCACTTGTTTATTCATTTTCAGTGCTATGCCTATTTTTTGCCTTATGGAGGCTCCATTTGTTACTTCAGGGATAACGCCTGCTGTAGCAATATTTTTTACTTTTGTAAATAGTTTATTAATAAATCCCCGCCAGTAGGGGATAGAAAACGTTTATAATAACCGTCAGAAAAAACGCCCGTCATGACATTTACCTTGTTACATTGTCCACTGCCTGCGCTTTTTTCTGATGTCCTTCTTAGCTGCAGTTGTCAGCCATTTTGGTTTGTTTCCGGTCGGGCGTTTGTTGTGAGGAAAATATCGTTCAATCCAGTTTTCATATTTAATTCGAACGTTCTCCAATATTCGGTGACATCCCCTCCTAATGTTACCGTCCGTATTGTGTCCAATCTCCGATTTCATTTCCTCTAATTTACCCTGTCAGACATTTCTTAATGACTTTGCGCCTAGTTCGGCGACAACTACCAGTGTCGATTCCCATATTAATGACATGTAATCACAGGAACCTAGGAGCGGGCCTGCGTTTATTTCCTCGACAGTTTTCTCGCTCTTGGTAAACAGTAGGTCTTTCGAGTCACTGTTCAAAAATGACGAAACAGGAATTCATCCAGTCTAATATCATTTGGTCGAATTCTTGGCTGTGGCCTTTATTGCCATAAGGTTCCAGTTAGACCGCGGAGCGCACAAACCTCCTACAATAATAACGTTTTGAAGAAGGAGACACGATCGCTGGGACAAGAGCTTTATTAGTCCGACGCTTCAGATTCCTGCTCGAACCCTTCACCATAGACAAAAAGCAGTTATGGATGGTTCATGCACAAAGGGCTGCAGTATTTATAGGATGTCGTCGTCATGCTACCGCATACCTATGAATATTCACGGCTTCCGCCCCCCCCTCATCAGGGATCGTTGCACGTGGTGTGATGACTGTTTGCTGGCCAACATTCGCATCTTTAATTGCTGCAATTTCATCACGTGCGTGGAATGCTGGCGGGAAGTGCTTTCCACGGTCGAACGTGATGCGCATAGAGAACTCAAGCCCGACAAAGACCTAGTCATCGTGCCAGCGGACAAGGGGCGCACCACGGTTGTACTGGACAGGACAGACTACCTTCAAATAGCCAAAGATTTACTGGAGGACCGACAAGGATGTGCAACGAACCCTGTAAAAGCGCTGACACGCAAAATTAATGCTATGTTGTTGGCCTTGGAGAAATCAGATGAAATAACACCGACCGACAGACGCATGGCGATATCTCAAGATACGTCTTTGGCGCGATTCTATGACCTCCCTAAGGCGCACAAAGACGGTGCTCCACACAGAGGTACTCCAACGTACGGACTGTCTAAGTGGCTGTTACGGTGTCTCAATTTCCTGACCGCTGAGTCAGACACCACGGTCTCTCCGTCAGCACAATTCCTGGAGAAACTCAAAAGGGTAAGTCCTCATCCAAATGAGGTCATGGTATGTTTTGATGTTACGCCCCTTTCTACTTGTATTCCCCAGGACCTGGCAATCGAGATAATCGAGCTGCTTATACAAAGAAAGTACGATGAAACGGAGAATAATCTTGGACACGCTAAAGTCCTTCAGCTCCTGAAGTCCTGTCTCAGGACGTACTTCAAGTTCGACGGGACAATCTATGAACAGGTGAAGGGCACAACAATGGGTTCGCCGATTTCCGGATTTATCGCCGAGGTGGTCCTGCCACGGTTAGATTCGCCGGTCTTCCAACACCACAGACCGGAGTTCTGGGCCCCGCCTGTGGATGATACCTTCGTCGTTATCGACCGGGATCAACTGATGACATTCAAGGAACATCTGAATGCGGTCTTCCCGGACATACAATTTACGATGGAGGAGGAAGAGAACAACCAGCTGGCATTCCTGAATGTCCTCGTATGCCGCAAGGATTGTGGTGGACTAAAGACCAAAGTGTTAAGGAAAGCGACAAATACGATGCAAGTACTGTACTTCAAAAGCAACTCCCCAATCAGTCACAAACACAGTTCTGTAAACAGGCTCCATCGGCGTGTCAGAGCGCACTGAAGTGAGCCAGAAGAAAAGATTGCCCAGCCACGATAACTTCGACGGGTTTCCAAAGCATATGGCTACCTGCGCAACTTTGTCAACCGCTGCATGCGCAAAGGAGACGAAAGGCCAAACCACACGGACCCCAAATTTTGGCGAGCGCTTCCGTTTCGGAAGCTGTCGGCTGCCTTCTCGCACCACTTGGGGTTGGAGTTACACACAGACCGGAGGCAACCATCAGGCGTCAGGTAATGAAACCGAAATACCCGCTGCCACGGCTAGAAACGTCTGGTGCAGTAGCGGACAAAGCAAATACGTCGGACAAATCGCAAGACAGCTCCGAACGCGAATGACCGAACACGCTGTAACGGTGCGGAGAAATGACGCTAGCTCTCAAGTTGCGGCTCATTCGACGGGTTCCGGCCACACATTCAAATTTGACGAGGCCGAAATTCTCGCAAGAGGTTACAACCGCGTGAGCCGGGAGCTGCTTGAGTCATGGATTACTGTCCCCCAGTCTATTAACAAGTGCAATGATCTTACCATTCAATACTCTGTGCTGAGACTTCGCCTAGGCGGAGTAATTAACCATGCGGAGGGCGCACAGGTGAACAATTTTCCCAACACCAGGATCGGGACGTCAGATGGTTGAGCCATCATCGCACCAACATCCAACACACGTGATGAAATTGCAGCAATTAGCGACGCGAATGTCGACCATCCGCCACGTGCAACGATCCCGGATGAAGGCGGGAGCCGTGAATATTCATAGGTATGCGGTAGCATGGGGACGGCATCCTATAAATACTGCAGCCCCGTGTGCATGAACCACTCATATCCGCTTATTTGTCTCTGGTGATGGGTTCAAGCAGGGATCCGAAGCGTCGGGCTAATAAAGCTCTTGTCCCAGCGATCGTGTCTCCTTCTTTAAGACTGCTTCCTGGGACTCGTCTCTTCGCTTCTATTGATAATAAGGTTTTGCTTTCGACTGTCCTCACGTAGTCGACTAATTAACACTTGATCTCCGTCGGCAGGTTGATTTATGAAGCCTATACACAACGGTGACAATAACAGTTTCGGCTTTAGGAACCAAAAATTAAACTGTACCATCTCCAGACCACGTTCATGTGCACGTTCTTCAACAGGGTTATATTCGACTGCATTAATGAAATTACTCCGCTAACTCTGCTTTTGGTTAGGTCTCATCTTAGCACCTGATAACCATCTGGCTTGATTTGGAAGCCTATGACATCTGGGGTGAACCAACTTTCAGTTATTGCGCGAATTCATTTATAGTGAATGTAGGCTTGCACAATATCTACCGCACTCTCTCCTCCCCACCTAAACCCCGTGTCAAGACAGAGTCAAGAATACCGGAGGTGGGTGAGTGCGCAGGTGGATGACACGGCCGAACTCGCACTCTGGCGTCCCACCCCACACCATCTGGTCCGCTAAATAGATTATCAGGATGTTAAACAACAACAGTAACAACAACAACAACAACAACAACAACAATTGGGAGGGCCACAGGCTCCCAGCGTGCACGACTTCGGCCGGCAACTGGGTCTGCCACCGCACGGCACCTCAAAATGTTGGCATTTGTTACGGTGCGCATTCCGATAACGCCTGCTATTTGGTTTCGTAGCCTAGCCACTAGCTGAATTAGAACGTTAATTAGCACATCCAGTTTCGTAGTCTAGTCACTAGCTGGATTTGAAAAGACAGTAAACACATTCCGTGTCGCAGCATAGCCACTCGCTGCATTAGAAAAGAAAGTGAACTCAATCGGTTCGGAACCTAGCCACTCGCTGGATGACATAGGAAACGCGACTGAAAAGTTCACTGAGCCAAGCCGTCCGTTCAATTTAATCACACCTACTGAAACCAAATCAGTAGGTGAATAGTATTAATAATGCATACATAGCTGCATATTAGGATCTCACCGATGGCCGGACTGGTGCTCGAAAGCTGCTCCTCAGTTGGCACAATCAACAGGGCTATTGATACTCACCCGGTCCAGTCAGTCCAGACGGAGCCGACAGCACTGGCAAGCGAGTTGCGGCTCCTCCAACAGTTATCACCTACACAGCAGGGGAAAGAGCCAGCCGGTTACAGGGCCAACGAAAGACATCGACCCTCCAACGCGCCCAAACAGCCGAGCGTGATTTGCACATGCAATGGCAGAAGATCAGTTCATACGGTTATGAGAAGAAAGCCCGCGGGGACGCAGACCTTGCAGCGACTACGATAGCAGGACAGGGAGCAGAGGGCACAGGAGTGCGCCAGCGGTCGCCCACGGAGAGACCAAGGCCAATCCCCAGCAGAAAGCAGGTCAAAGTTCGTGTGACAGGCATGTCTATAACACGAGACAGGAGGCGAGACGGAACAACTCTCGGCTAGCAAGGACAGACACGCCACCACACTGATGATGGAAACGAGGAAGTTTCCAAACGACGGCATCAATACAATGTGATCCATGAAATCGCCTAATTTTTTCCTCTTCGTCATCTTTTGAAGACGAGGAGAGGGATAATCTATGTGGGCCTAGAATATTCACTCATGTTCATATATACACATACAGTAGGCGGGCTAACTCGGGAAATGTCAACTGAAATTCTGATATACCTTTTCGTTTCGAAAAGATTAGTTAAGTAGGATTGTAAATCTGATCATCTTGCAGCGCGATTCAAAAATTATTCAGCTATCGTGGGATGCCAGCATTAGAACGAACTTCTTTCCGGCTGTACGCAAAAACCACAATCTGCAAACAATGACTACTTATGTAGCATACATTTTTCTAATTGCATTTCTATGCCCCTAAAAATTCAGCTATATTTCATGAAAAACATGCATCAAAATATTTATTCCTTCACTCATTCAACAGAAAATTACGTCTACTTTCAATTTTATACTCGAGGGAAGGGTATAATTCGGTTTTCAAAAACTCTTCCAACTGCCGAGTAATTTTAAAACCGATCTGTCGTTACACTTGCATTCAGGGTTCCCAAACTAAAAGTCATACATCTTCCGCGTACGAAAAAACTATACATTCTTCTACGGTATTAAGAGGAGACCATATAGGGTTCACAAATTTAGCAGTGGATTTGAGCCATATTGCTAACTGTACAATCCACATTTGTAAATGCAGAAACATGATGCTTTATAAACGGCCATTTCATGGTATTGAAGAATTCCACAATTAGAAAATTTTCGAAAACCGAATTATCCCCTGCTTTCGAGTATAAAATAGGAAGATGTAATTTTCTACCGAATGAGCAAAGATTGAATATTTTTATGCGCGTTTTCTATGAAGTATAATTAAATCTTTAAAGGCATCGAAAATCAGTGAGAAGAAGTAGCCATTTCTTACAGAGCATGGTTTATGCATTCAACCGGAAAGAAGTTCTTTCGAATACCGGCATCCTGAAGTAACTGAATTATTATAGCATTACGCTGCACGCTGAGCATTTTTAAAACACTACTTAATTAATCTTTTCGAAATGAAAACATATTTCGGAATTTCGGTTGACATTTCATGAGTTAGCTCACATACTGTACATATCTGGTGATAGAAGGCTCGTCGGGAAAAATCGAGTTGTACTCGTGAATTTTCAAGCTGGTGACACCAAGCCATCGGCAGACGAATTAAACAGAGAAAACGAAATGGTTAGACTAAACTGGTTGGCGCGGCAGGACAGCCAGTGACAGGCAATTAACTTGTGTGTGAGAGGGGTGGGCACATAATTAAACTAGGATCTGAAGCGGGGGAGGGAAGGGGGAACCGTTGCGATCAAATGTGTTGGAGGGTAGGGGGATGGCGACCCGATGGAACTGCAGACAATGGACATCGTGGTCGTCGATCCCATATGGGGGCAGAGGTCAGTGCGCCAACGTAGGGGGTATCAGGGATTGCAGTTGCAATTCGCTGTATCTGGGGGAAGAGGTGGCGAAATAGTGAGATTCTATATGGCCCAGTATGGATTAGCGGCTGTTGTTAGGTTTTGGGCACAAGTCAGTGAGCCGAGCACGTAGACCTTCGTAATGAGCGTCCAGATCGACGTTAGAGTGTCGTGTTAGAGTGCCGGACTTAGAGGAATTCTCGAGCCTGTTTGGTGTTAGCCATGGCAACAACTCCAGTTCCTTCCCAATTGAGGCGTTTGTCGCATTCAGGGGCGTGCGCAAACACGAGTGACAAAGGGTCACATCGGCGGATGGCTGGTTTGTGTTTGATTATACGCATCCCAAGTCGTCGGCCTGTATGACCAACATGATCACAAGAGCAGTTAGCACACGAAATGCGGTAGATGACATTAGTTCGCTGGTCTTTGGGCATGGGGTCTTGTAATTGAGAGAATGATTGCTCAGTGGGGCGCCGGCTTGTGGACAATGGAGATGCCAAACCGGTTTAGTTATCGGGCAATTGTTTCCGAAATGCCCTGCGGGAAGGCTAGAGTGAAGAATTTCCGTAGTGCTGTTCCTCCATTAGAGCCAAATCCTTGTAGTTGCCTCCAATGTCTGAGACAGTTTTTCACAAAGCTGACCTGGTATACATTGAGCCGGACTAACCAATAGAAGAAAGTGAGTTCTTTCTTAAGTCGATCATTGCTGCTGCAGTAACGAAAGGCCCGGTGGAAAAGGATTCCGACACAGGTTCTTTTATGAGCAGCAGGATAATTGCTTTAATGAAAAAGAATGACGTCAGCATTGGAGTCTTTTCGGTAGATGCTCGTTGCAAGGCCGTCAACACTGTGTTTGGATACTAACGTCTAGAAACGGGAGGATGCCCCCTGTTGCCATTTCGCGAGTGAACTGGATAGCTGTGAAAACGCTACTCAGACTCTGATGCAATTGCTAAACTTCGCAGATCTTTATGATAACAAATGTATCATCTGCGTATCGGATCCTCTTTTTGGCTTTAAAGTTCGCATACTTTGCTCTTCTAGTTATTGCAGTACCAGTTCCACGATTTGACATTACATGTGACCATTTTACTTTCTCCACTTTTTATTTCGTCCGACGACCTCTTGGTGTCACCAGCTCAAGAATACACGAATACCACTTGATTTTTTCCGTCGAGTCTTCTTTCTCCATCATATTATCTCGGAATGCACACTATCTCGGTTATTCGACCTATTTTCTGGCGTCAAAGGCTTGTTGTTAGTAGGCGTTGGGAGTAATTTCCGCAGAGACAGGCTATAACAAATGAGTAACTGACGTTTCTTCATCGCCATCACGATCACGGTATTCTACTGAAGTTTCTACGTTTCAAGTCCACTCTGTGGAATAAGACTGGGAGGCTGCTCGCACGGAAATAGGTATCTCACGTTTAGAGTGCCAATATACCAGACGTCCACCATCGTCTTTGCAGATTCGATGCAACAATAGCCGACCTTTGAAGCCAGTGCGTCTCAGCATTACCTAATAACGTATTCGAAGGCTGCTACAACATATAAATGCCATCACTATAGACGTCAAAATGAAAAAAGGAGGCGATCTTCAAGCGAAGCTGCAATATCTTCTTTGTCCTGTTAACGGACGCATCAGATCGAGAAGAGTTCCTAATCTTCCTTAAAGGAGTCTAACATCCAATTAAATAAGTCTACTATCAAGAGAAACGAAATTCAGCCACACGGATGCTGCGTCCACAAACTTCCTAGCGAGCCTTCAATCTACTTTACTGACCTCCGATGTGGCTGAAAACATGCGCGCAGACATACGCAACTGCGCCGCTGGTCTCCTTCAAAAAATGAATCACACCAAGTCTTACCAATCAACGAGGAAAAGGGGTTATAGTCTTTAAAGACGATGACAATATAGTGATTGTGCCTGCTGACAAAGATGGCGTGACTAGTGTCCTAGAAAAGACTACGTCAAAAAGGCTAACCAAGTGTCTAACGACAAGGAAGCTTACACACTACCCGCGGAAGACCCAAATAAAAAGCGAGCTGCAGCCGTGTAAAATACGATAAATGAATTTACTCGACTAAAGCTCATAACCCCCGATGACTTCAGATGTATGACTCTCAACGACTCCCCGAACAGCCAATGCATATGGCCTCCTAGAGGTGTAGGACGAAGGTGCGCCACTGAGGATCGTAGTGCCGCTTATTGGATCACCCAACTACAACCTCGATAAATGGTGATACGGGAACATGGTGCATCTCACTGATGGATGACAGTATAGCGTCAAAAACTCTCCGGCATTCCTTCAAAAGAATAAAGGCCTTAAAGTAAGACCTGATGAGTATATTCTATCGCTCGATGTGGTTGTCCGTTTTCCTCAACAACACATGACCTGACGATTGAGAGCGTAACTCGACGCCTGCAGGATAATCCGACCAACATTGCAACACAACAAGTTTCAGAAATGCTCAGACCCTGTCTCAAGGACTGCTGTCAATTCGATGGAAAGTCTTATCAACATGTTGGGTGTACGGCAATGGGCTCGCCAATATCACGTCTACTAGCAGAACTGGTACTATACCAACTAGAAAAGCAAAGTATGCGAACTTCAAAGCCAAACGTTGTTTCCACCACATGAAGTATTAAAGTCGCTGGGCCCGCTTTTAGCGACTGCACTCGCGCGATAGTGACTTCATTCCCTTGCTTCCATCAAACTCAACTATGGTTGCCGTGGCGCCCACGCGTTTCATTATGGCTGTTGTTAATGCCCTTCTAACTCAACGTTGACATCGAATGATACTCAAAGAGATTGCGTCAAGACGAACTTGTGTGTCAGTAGCTACGATTTTGGGCATACAGTCTCAGCCGTCAGTTAAGGCGGACACGCGCCCAAACTTACGAACTCCTTGTAGTAACGCCGATGCAGTTTTAGCCGCTGTCCGCAAAACGTAGCGCGCGAACCATATCACAGCTCGCCATATAAAGTTGGCCTGCGATAGGCCACTTGACCATAAGAGGGATTTTAAGAATTGGAAAACTGCCTCAGAAACTTCTTTTAAGTACGGGATTGACTTAAGGTCATTTCCATTTGGCGCTTGGACATCCTCAGCGCCTGCCGAGGTGGTTAAGTGGCACACTAGTTGTCGGATCATTTGCAGACAGTCTAGTCCTATGGGCGGCACAAAACACCAGGCTCTTCGGTTCGTCGAAAGAAGACATGAATATGGAACACCTCAGTCTATGACTCCACACACCCAGCCAGGCACGCTAATAACCAGCACCTGGGAAATCTAAGCTATCAGGTGAACTTTGATTTTCCTTATCGGGGTCTATGGGATACAGCTGTGTTAGAGGAGGAAGGCAAACATTCGTACATATATATATGCAAGGTAAAAACGATTACGGCGCCCACCCAGATGCTGATTAATAGGCTTAGGAAGACGGGTGAATTGACAGTGTATACACATGAAGGAAGAGAATCAACCAATCGTTTGGATGAGCAAGAAATGCGATTAGGAAGTTACGAGGAACTTGTGGGCGGGGTGGATCAGGGTAGTGTCGCTCGGTACGCCTCGAGTTTCCTTGAGAAGGGAAGCCACTTTCTTGAGAAATTCGTCTCTCGATCGGCCCTGTTCACTAGCATTTTGCTGGTCCGAAAAGATAAACTAAAAGTAAGAAGAAATCAGTTTACCGAAAAAGGTAGGATCAAGATACTTAATCTGCCTTCAGCAGACAGACGTTTCCAAACCCCAGGAAGTGAACAATAAAGGCTTAAGTACCAATTATGGCCCCCAAAGAGGAGTGAGGCCCAAACCATGGGTAGGAACTTTATCGGTTGTGGTGGGAATCACTCACAGGGAGATATATGGGAATGGTCGATCTGATTTAATTACAGTAAGAAAGACGCGAGTTGTGTGGGTTTTAGGAACTAAGGCAGCGCGGTCATAGGTTACGCGGTCAGAAACCAGAACTGGGAAAGGGGGTATAATGCACGTCTGAGACTGGTAGTACGGTAAATCATTGCACTAGACTTATAGCAAAGCACTTAGATATTTACTAACACTGAGATACTAAACGCAACGGTCTTCCTCCAGTCTGCACAGCGCAAAGACTTTGACTGACCAGGACACTCAAACGGAGAGGAGTGCATATGGGAAATTGTGTGACGGTAGATACTAAGAAGCAAGACTATCAGGTAATTATAACGTCAGTTGTCAGGACTGGTGTCAAAGTTTCGAGAGTCAAATAATTAGGAGTGGTTGGCCACGCTGTTATCGAGTCAAGTAAGACCAGTGATTCGAACCACATCCCTGACTCTTCCATTTTTCGATGATTAAGTCGAGTATAAATCCGATAAATCAGGCGCTTAAAGCCCTAAATCCAACAATCGAGTTTACCTCTCTTCCGGGTAGTAAAAACAAAAAATAACATTGCTAGCAACTGGAGCTACGGAACTGACGCGTTACAGCTTCTATAAGCCGTCAGCCGATCAATAAACTGGGAGCGTGCACCACTGAAACTACTACAGCAGGCGACAGTTTGCTTGCGAATACACTGAGTGATAGACTTCATGAAATGTTTGTCGAGATTCCGAAATGCGTTTTCGATTAGGAAGGATTACTTGGGTGGGAATGTGATATTTATTAACATGTAGCATAATCCTATAATATTCCGGACTCGCCAGGATGACGGCTTTTAAATGCACTTCATTTCGATCCCCTGTAGAAACCGCACTCGGCACAAATTACTACTTAAGTAGTATGTGTTTTCGCGTTAACTTTCGATAACCCCTTAAATTCAAATATATTTCATAGAAAGCATACACACAAATATGTTTTCCGATATTCGTTTGGTAGAAAATCACGTTGTCTACATTTTATGTGCGAAGAAAAAATATATTTAGGTTTCAAAAAAGTTTCTTATTATGACATTATTTAAGATCGTGCAATGCCCATTCGTACAGCATTGTACCTGTCCGTTTACCAATGCATGTCACGAGGTGTACAACATAGCCTGCATTCATTGCAAAATCTTATGAAGTCTATTCAGTACATTCTTAGAGGCATAGACGAATAGATGATTTTCTTTACGCGAAAAATATGCACCTTGTGGGCTGAAGTCGCTAAATGCTAATGCAACGGCTGATCAGGCACGAAATATTTCGGGGGCTGGGAAACTTTTTCGAAACCTAAATAGATTTTCTTTGAGCATAAAATGTAAAGACAACGTGATTTTCTACCAAATGAATATCAGAAAACATAGTTGTGTGCATGATTTCTATGAAATATGTTTGAATTTATGGGACCATCGAAAACTAATGCGGAAGCACATACTACTTAAGTAGTCATTTTTGCCGAATGCGGTTTCTGCAGGGGTCGAAATGAAGTGCATTTAAAAGCCGACATCCTGGAAAGTCCGGAATATTATAGGATTATGCTGCATGATAACAAATATTAAAACCCCACCCAAGTAATCCTTCTTAATCGAAAACGCATTTCAGAATTTCGACCAACATTTCATGAGGTCAGTCACCCACTGTACATATGGCAACGTTTCAGTGGTTCTTGTACAAGAAAACGTTAAGTAAAAAATGCACTCCGAAATATTAAAGGGGACGTAGAATGGGACTCAACGGGTACCATAAAAAACTACGTACCGGAAATACCGGAATGGGACAAGTTTTGTTGTAGCTGGAGACAAGAGATGCAATAGGACGAGGCACTAGAGAATCACGTTTCCAGCAGATGAAGCAGAGGGCGTACTTAGAGAGGCCTGAAATAATAAAAAGACATGACGGTGGTGGTGATGATAGTAGCGGGTCCGACCGTGCCAGCCACCTGCGCCCTCTCCCACCGGTCCTCTCGGCTCAGGCGGGGGGTTTGCGGTAGATGCAGTCCATGTCTAATACCACTATAAACTACTACCACTATAAACTGTAATTCAAGCACAAGTCACCGTGCCTGCTTCACCTTGCTGTGGAAGACACGGTGAACATCGTCGGACACGGCGGTCGAACTGTCGGTATTAGTAGTGTTGGCGGTGGTGGCGGCAATGGTGGTGACTATAGCCTGATAAAATGACTGTCATGCTAAGAAGACTATTAAATAATAATACTAGGGCAGAGACCCGACGGTGAGAATGCATCCTAAGACTTCGGGGCGGGCTGGAGATCAGTATAAAACTGCCAGGCTACTTAGGTGGTTTTGGTAAAATTTGCGCCTCTCATATAAATCTGTTTCGTCGTATTTGCAACACAGGTATCAGCTAAAAATCAAGACAAGTGTTGCGTAGGTTCCCTCTGGCCGCACGACACAACTGTGAGGAGTTCGGTCCCTCGGTAGGTCTCCCGACGACTCCACTGTGGCTTGCAGCATGAACTCAGAACTCAAACTCGGAAATATCATTCCGGTAAGAGACGGTGCCACTGGATAGCACGCGAACAGGATTAGAAAACAAGTGCAGTTTCCAAAATAGGGCTTAAGACGGGCAAGGTGAGGACAAGCAGTTGGTGACCTAACTCGTGAAATGACGAGATCGAAATTTGAGAGTGTAGTATGGCATACATTTGGTGTTTTTATTCGTTAAACGGATTTGAGGCACAGAAAGCCTTTCACTAAAGAAAAATTCACTTAAGATCTGTTTTATGAAGAGCTAGGGTTTGGGCGCAATCAGAAGTTTCCCAAAATCCTAGTAATTTCCTAAGCTATTTAATAGCCTAGGTCGAAATATCTTGCTTGTGCGTCTTGTGCTATAAAAGGACGTTAGTGCAAGCAATAACAGTTTGAAATAAAGCCTTTCTGGAGACAGAAAATTGAATTTTGTGTCAACGAAAATCTAGTGAAGGCAGGTATGAGAAGTCACACTGTTTTTGTGGAACAGGGGGGGAGATTTAGCCGGAGGGCCGCCGCGTGGGCCGTTGGTTAATATTTTCGACATTAGCTATGCCACTCTCTGGAAAATTATTAATAATAGGACAGCACCTAGAATAATGCAAGGTGAACCAAAACGGTACACAAGCAAGCAAGACAATTTTATTCATCGCACACTAAAAAGTGCCCCTTAAGGCTATTCGCAAGGAAAAAGGATGAAGGAAGTCAGTCTTACTCAGCAAAAAAGTTCCAGCAAAGCCGTTTAAGTAGGAAAGTCATTACTGAGTGTTTTTATTTGCCGAGAGTTTATTGATTGCAGATTCTCATTTTTGAAGTATTTGCTTTTACGATGGGGTCTTATTTTTAGACAGACTACCAAAGTCCGTCTAGGTGGTTCATACGTGGGAAGAACTTCCCCCGAGAACGCACTGCGTCGACGGTAGCTTTCAAGGTTGTCGACGCCCAATGGTTTGGATGACCATGAAGTTCGCAGAGTGACCATTCTGGCGGTCAACAACGGAGACTATAAGCAGTAAGGTGCTCATCAATATCTTAAAGGATGCTTTCGATTACAGCGACATTCACCGACGTCGAATGGACACTGTAGTGCTGCAGGATAATGTTCCTGTTCACCACTCGGAGGAGGTATGATTCTGAGTTAGCCTATGATAATATAATCGCTTAGACTACGTTTTTATCCCTGTCAAGAGCCCGGACCCCCATCCGATCGCAAATCTCCGTGCGCTAATCAAAATAAATTGGGGCAAAGCGAGGAAATACTGCTACATGCACGAAAAGTTGGATTCTGTGCGTCATAACTGTAAAGACAAGCCCACCATAGATGTTATGGAGAACGGAAATAGTGATCACGGCCTGGGGGAAAAGGCGGATATGACTACGCACGGCACAGCAGACCAAGCCGACCACGAGATACACGCGTGAAGTCAGGCAGCCAATCAGCGCGCAGTGTAGCGTCGAGCACACGTAACATCTTTGCTCGTGCGTGCGGCCCAATGACCGATTGGACATTCCTAGTTTTCTGCGAGAGGATTCTCGCGTGAGAAACGGCAAATCCGCGACCAGCACGCCAGTGACCGGATTATTATAGAACGCCCAGAACTTCAAATAAATAAGACGAGTTCTGATAAGTTGAAAATAGTGTTTTGCAGGCCGTAAGAATAAAATGATTGTCCCCAGAACCCACTTGCCTCCCCTTCTGTCATAGCCGTCGGGATGTAACAATATACAGCTTTGTCGTCCAACTTGCAGATGTCTTACACGCAAAAGGACCACCTACAAAGTACTAATGCATTGTATTTGGTATTCTTTTTCATTATTTTCTCTTTGGACCATACTTTTCTTCTCTGCTCTCAGTTATAGTAGGTCATAAATAATTAACCTGTGATAATGTCGCCATTATGCTTTAATGGGCTTCGACAAAATAGTTTATGTATTCTCTAGAAGAATGGTCGATTCTGCAGCGCAGTACAAGTTTCGCGGATGTAGTATGGGCGGTCTGCGCGTAACAGGGATGTTGTGCGAATTTTGCAGCCCTGTTTCTGAAAGGCCACGAACTGCAGGAATTCACTTGAGAGAAGCCAGAGCATAATTAAAAGCTCATGCTTTTTCCGACGCCTCTAGTATACAGACTTTGTGAAAAATTATCCAACCGAAGGATTCAAATCCGTAGAAACGAATAACGATGTGGAAATCGTTCATGTGCTGATATTCCCAACGGTTAAATGACAAAATGAGACCAGGAAGTATTTCCAATTCGTTGGTCGACTAAGAGGATAGAGTGGTTGGACGAAGCATAGTAAGTACAGGTGAGAGCTGGGAGTCTTAACGTGATCTTTATAGCACGCCTAGGGGCGGCTTCGGTCGCGCCAGTCGCTTTTGCTGTTGGTTAAAATTCTGGTCATTTGCTGTGTGGACCAGTGGGTGAGGAGTGGAGTGTCAAGGTGCGGGCTGACCGTGCCATCCACCTGCGCCCTCGCCCGTCTCCGGTCTTCTTGAGTCTGTCTTGACACCGAGTCCAGGTGGCGGAGGAGGAGAGAGTGGTAGATGCTGCGCAGGTCTACATTCACTATAGACTAAATCACGCGCAAGTCACCGTGTCTGCTTCACCTTCTTGTAGAGCATACGGTGGAAATCGTCGGAAACGACAGTCGAACTGGTAAGTACCAGTGATAAAGGAAAAAACTTACTAGGATCCAAGCCTGACTTTTTCCTCAGCACGATATCTGAAAGGAGACAATGGCAAAAAGGTGCGTATACATACATTGGCGAATGCTAGACAAAACATGAACAATTATTGATTTTAAGCAGGCCAAAACAGCGAATTTGATTCGATTTGAAAGCAACTACCTGCCTACTAGTCACAGTCAGGCCTTCAAAGTCGAGACGTAAAACAAGTATTTGGAAATGGGAGGTTTAACCGCATACAAAGAGTAGCCAAGGAAGGTACTCTGGTCTAAGAACCCGCTGAATTGGTCGGTAGTCTATAGGTGGGTTTCCATTGAATTCGATAGGAGAACGTGCTATTAGCGAGCAAACAAGAGGAGGCATTAACCGAATATCGTTTGTGGGACTCGCTGCCGGTTATTTTTATTAGGAACTATGCACGAAGAGACATGCAAAAAGTAGGCAAATTTAGGAGCCCGTTTAGGACACGGATAAGACTATCAATTTGTGGGTGCAAAATTGTCCTAAATTATGAATGGCTCACTTGGTCACCGTCGGATTAATTTATATGCTCCATTCACCAAAGGAAGCAAAGCCCTGTTCTTCAGAAACCCTATTCAGTTTCGCCCTGAGTGCAATCACTTTCAGGAAGGGCAATCCAACTAAGTGAAATTCTCCATTTGCACTAAGGAGTACGTGGTATCGGGTCGTTCAGCGGACCCCTGAATTTCAAAGTACTTTTCTCGTTCTCCTAGTTGACAGTTCGACCGTCGTTACCGACGATGTCCATCGTGTGCCCACAGCAAGACGAAAGCTAGGGCGGTGACTTTCGCTGTACTGACTGCATTCTCTCCTCTCCCACCCAAGACAGAGTCAAGACCGGAGGAGGATTGGGCGCAGTGTCTTACAGGACCAAATAGCCCATCTACACGAGCCACACACGTCTGGCCCGCGCACGGTGGACCGGGTTTTTACCCAAACAACAGAGAGTGCCATAGAGGTTACATGAATAAAAAGCCATCGCAGCCCGACTCTCCGTCCCCGAACGGATGACCGAGTCATCCCGTCGGTTGGCAGCCTTTAGAGCCACGCTGGCAGCGCATCGTGGTAGATAACAAGCGCGTCGGATTGCTTGTCGTGAGAAATGCGCGCTGCGTCGTGGGGACGCGGTCCCCGGAGGCAATCTCACCGTCTTCCCTCTCCCAGGCACTGTCAAAACCGGTTGGCCATCTGGTGCTGGGATCGGGCACAACTGGCTGGCGTAACGGGAGTCTGCGCCTAGGCGTGCCGCCACACTCCATGCGTGGCAAGCGTCATGAGTGTGCAGCTAAAATAACGCGTTATGTACTATGATCTGGTTCTTGCGTTGGTCCAGCGCAACGTTCGCGTAGTCTGCTGTACGAGGCAAACCGGGCTAGTAACTACCGAGCGACGGCTTTTGACGCGTGTCGCGGTGTGAGGACAAGGAAAGGAATCTGTCCCAAGAGAAGTGGCGACGTCGCTTAATCTCCAGCTGCGATGCCCTCATCCAAGGTTCGCTTGTGATAACGTACAGATTCCTTCCTGAGGAACATCTTGACTGACGATGGTTGACCAGAGAAGGCAAGAAAATTAGAGCGTAAAAGTTCTTATCGTCAGCCGTTAAGCGTAAGGAGAGCTGCCCAAGTCGATAGCCGTGGCTGCAGCTTGGCGTATAATTTAGTAGCTTCAGAAAACTGTCAAACTGTCTGTTTGGACACATGGCCGACAACAAAACCCCTCCCTGTACAGTGATGAATCTGTTCGCCATCATCACCAAGGCCATTTTGGCCAATCGGAGTCATTCACCTAGATGCTTCGGCATCCAAGAAGTGCCCAGGCAAACGAAAGGGTATTACTGCGTCTACTTGCAACCTCTCATGTGAGAATTGCAGACTGCAAACGCCTGCTAGTTTACAGACGTCGAGGAAACACTAAGTCAGTGTAAACCAATTCGCATGAAGTTACTAGTTGAGCCCAAGTGTGTGAGAAATTTGGCCGAAATGATATGATATTTAGCTTTGAGCACTGCTACGGA